CCCACGGACCAAGTCCTGGGCACTCACAAGCCCAAGCACCAGCACACTGCTTTCTGGCAGCTCCAGCCCAGGGGGAGCCTACTGTACAGACAAGCCTAATGCCTAATCAGAGACGAGCTTGGAGACAAGAAAACACCAGTGGGGAGGAAAAGGAAGAGGAGTGGCAAGAATTTAGAGCTGCACTCCAAAAACTAGAGCCAGAGAGAGTGGGGAGAGCTCATAATTCTTTTCAACCATTGCTCACCCAGCTCATAGGACACAAAAAGCCACGCCTGGCACATTAAAGCTCATATCATGTTCTGTTTTAAGTCAAGGGTGCTGTCTCCCTTCCCTCAGACTTCAACTCTAGTTTCAGGCTGCAAATTCCCAGCCAGCTGTGTAAGTACTGTTTTAGTGACACCATGTGGCTTCTGAGGATACTGTTGTGTTTCAGAGCAGCAACTCTGAGGCCAAGTCCAGAGCCAAGCAAGGAACTTCGCTGAAAACATGCCAGAGATGTGGCAGGGATGCGGCACAAACCTTCGAGCCTCGTTCATCACAGCGGTGATGACAGATGTGTCATTTACAGATTACAGCACCTCTGGACCACCGACCCTCTGCATCTTTTGCAGTTAGGAAGTATGATGGAAGCAGAAGTGATAAAAAGCTCCAAAATGTCCGTAGCCCAAAGCAGCTGCTGGTGTTTGCTTTTGCCAGTGCCAAAGACAAGCATATGCTTAAAGCCTGAACCTGACCTGAGGCTTTGTGAGTTTAAGTTTAAAGCAAAAGTTCCACATCCACCAGAAAAAAAAAAAGTAGTAAAGCAATTCTTGCATTTAGAAGTGTAGCTGTCTTCTGTTAGCCCATTGTTTTCATCAGTTTCATTCTTCTACCACTAGAAAGAGAAAGAAGTCTGCTGCTGGTGCAAGCAGGATTACAGGCTGCAGCATTTTCGCATAGAATCTTGTGGCATAAACACACAAACATGTTTTACAAGCTCAAGGTATGAAATCAGTTACTTAGAACAGCGTCTAACAACCACTGTGCACTGAAAGCACACTGAAATCTAGACACTGCCCCAAGGTCCCAAGTAATACAAGAATAACTATTTCCCCTGCTACAAAGACTTTACAGCAGCACCCTCTTCTCCTAAATAACAACTCTCAGAGACAGAGGGGGCACAAACGAATGTAGAAAGTAGAAGATTATTTAGCAGTACTTTGAGAGTCAAGGACTGATTTGATATTTAAAGAACAGTTTGAATCTCCATGTTTCACTTTGATGTGCATGTGTATCTCCTCCAAGGAGCCTTTATCTGTGTGGGGGAGACTTGCTAAGGACAACCCGTGAACCACAACTGCTTTGGTACTGCAGGCGTAGCCCCCACGTCTGCAAGTCAGGTAAAAATACCACTGATTTCTAAGTTGGCTTACTTGGCAACCTTGATTCCCAGCCCCCTGATCCAGATCTTGTTCTTTGTTTCCCTATTCTTCAATTCAGCAGTGACACCAATAGAACAACTTTATGGCAGCTGCCTTTGTTTCTTTTTGCCCTTTAAGTGGCTTCTTTTACCACCGCTTTTAAGATGCAAAGGCCTGAAGAGTTAAAGCATTTAGAGCTGGAGGATTAGCTTCTATTTCATCTACTTTTACTTTCAGAGTTAAGGAAGTGATAAGAGGAAAAAACCCCACTGTAACATATATGTTTCCCACAGGAACTAAGAGTGGTTTGATTATAAACAACAGATAATAATAATTTGATAATAATTTTGATGCCTGGAGATTTCTGCAGCTTAAATCAGTTTTAAAAAATTACATTTGATAAAAAGTCAGTGGAAGACCCTATACGACTGTATTCCGAAATGAAGCAGAGGTTCCATATGCAGAACAGAAGTGCAGCCCTTGCTGTGTCAGACCAAGTTATCAGACAAGACCATCAGAACAAGAAGCCAGTGAAATAACACAACTGCAACTTTATGCTTAGGAATGAGTGTATTGAGTAGAAACAAAGGGGAGAACTGAACAGCAGCAGTGGTTTATTAACAAGGCGTAGAGTCAAAAGTCATCCTTGCGACTACTCCTCTGTGCTTTGTAGATATGAACATCCTTACTGGAATCATAGTGGACCTCATGCACGGAGAAACGGTCTCTCAGCATCTTCAAGAACTTGTGATCCCGTTCATAGCGGATACGACAGGCAAGAAGAATCACAGTTTGCTCTGAGCACAGGTGCTCCAGCGTCTGAAGCAGCTCTGCAAAAGTTTCTTCCAGATAAACGATGTCTGCACCCAGGACGAAGTCAAATGCTCCTGGAGGGAAGTTATCCAGGTCTTTTCCCCAAGTCAGCTCCTTCACCACAGCTCTCGGACGAAGTTCAGAGGGTAAATTAGCCTGTACGTTTGACTCCAGGAATTCCAGTGCTGCCTCCCTGTCTGTCATAGTCACACGAGCACCTAAGCAGTACAGGAGTACAAGGCTTAAACAGTCAGAGTCCATAAATACAGCATGCAGAATACAATGCTTTAAGTCGAGCAGGCTCCTAGTTAAACATTAACAATTCCCCTGAACTGCCTGATTAAAAACAAACAAACAAAAGAACACTTCATCAGTCACTTAAGAATATACAGTGCAGATTAAGTTGGGTAGGGAACAGAAAGTGTTTTCTAGTGCTTCTTCTTAGTGCATGAAAGTCACGGAGTTACCTTCTGTCTTTCCATAGGCAACAAAAGAATGAATTAGAGGGGTTGTTACCATTAACCTGCTTCAATCCCATATTTTTCAGTAGGAGACAGGCAGCTAGAGAGCCTCTTTCACAGGTCAGGCAAAGTTATGCCTGTGTGATTTTGCATGGCATGACTGTATTTTGTCAAAGGCTCTGTTTCTATTATTTCAGCAGGCACCTTGCACAGCCACTAGAGTTTTGAATTACAAAGTTAACCTGGGACAGGTAGCACAAATTTAACATAATACCCAGTCCCTGCTTCAGCCACAGACAGATCACCAGCAAATCATGTCATTTCTCCAGACCTTGGCATGCCTGTCTGCAAGACAGGCTAACACAGCTTACGCAGGCTCAGAGCCGTTTCTGTCTGTAGCTTTATCTGCATACGAGGACATGTGGAAGACGGGAAGCTCAGCACTTGTTCCCTGGGGGAGAATAGCTGCAGAGCTGACTGCTGCTGAGCTTCCTGCCATGGTAACAGGCGTCAGCCTTAACAGGGTCCCGCCATAAAGTAAACTGCAGTGGCACCATCACTACAACAAATATTGCAGCAGGCTCTCAAGTCTAACGAGAAAGGAAGATGACTCAGAGAGGAACCATCACAGTTCACATATGCAGCTTTGGTGCTCACACTATACCAGATGTAAAAGCACTAGTTTTACTACAGTTGTAAAGTGTTTTAAATGAGCAAACAAAAAAGCCCTTACCTAATAACGTGGCCACTATTCCCAACAATCCAGTCCCAGCTCCCAGCTCAATCACAGACCGATCCCTGAGATCAATGCATTCCATCTCCAGATAAGCACACAGGACAACAGCCTAAGCCAAGAGACAAAGACAATTTAGCACAGGGCTCATTTCAGTCATACCAAACACAGGGTTTCTGGCTTAACCCAAGAGAAGATTATGGGAAGAGTCAGGCACTTCAGGTCTGCAGCAAGACTTCGTTCAGCCCTTCTCTGCCTCCTGTGTGCACATGTGGTCTTTTTATGAGTTTTATGGAAGGCTCTTGCTGGCAGAAAGAAAAAGGAACCATAGAGGTTACAACTCAGATGTGGTAAGTGCTTCATGAATCCCCAAACATAACAGGAGGTAGAAGGAGTTGCATTTGGAAAGGAAAAGCTGAAGTGGTGTCAAACACTAGTGAATGAACACAGTATTGCAAAAGACAAGAATAAGGTTTCATAATCTCTTATATGGTATTTCAAAATGGTATTTCTTATATGGTTTCTGCACAACACTGGCGTGCCATCAGGAAGGACAACAGGGAATGTAAAGAAATAACTCTTCTATCTGGTTGTTTCTAATGTGTTGTATTTTATATCAATCTTGACAAGGAGCTCTCTCCAGAGCAAGTTCTGTCAAAGCTGATGTTCGGAAAGACCAACAGCCCTGTACACCAATTCATCTGAGGAGTTTGCTAAAACTGCTACGCTTATTCTTTTAAGCTAGAGGTAAAAGAGCAATTTGTGTGTGGACCTGAGACCTGGCTGACGGGAAGCCCTTGGATTTCTACAGTGGTGCTGTGAGCGACTGCCCTGCAGCTTTGGGCCTGCCACAAACCCCTCTGTTTTGGACTGTTCCTATCCCCAAGATAAAGTCTATCAGCAGTCCTTCTGGAGGCTACAAGCAGCGATCCATGCCGTGCTCTGAAGGGTGCCAAGCAAACATCACCACCCATTGTTAAGAAATGGGTGAGGGTTCTGTGAGTTATCCGGGATATTTCCTGTATTTGGCAATGGCTATGCAAGATTTAGGTGGCCCATTTCTCTTGAAGTCCTTCAGGATCTCTTATGAGGGAAGAAAAAAAAAAGGTAAAGCAGAGTTTAATATTTTCTTTCCGGGGAAGGAAAAAAAAAAAAAAAGAAAAGAGAAAAGAAGAAGGAAAAAAGCCTTCCCTTTACATTTTAACGTTAAATAATTTTATAAGGTGATCCTGAAAGCTCGGCAAGAGCCACAGGCAGCCACGGAGCGCAGGAAAGCTCCGCTCGGCGCGAACACCTACCGCGTCCCAGACCACGGCCGCCACCCCCAGCCGCCGCCAGTCCTGCTGCAGGCGGATGGTGCGGCTGGCGAAGTGGAAGGTGGCCGAAGGGCTGTGCAGCTGCCGCGCTCCCCAGCCGGCTCCCTCCTCGTAGGGCACCAGGGCCATCCCGCCGCCGGCGACTGCGGGCCCCAGCTGGCCGCGGCCTCGGCCGCCGACCGGACCCTGCCCGAGCCCCGCGCTCCCCGAGCCGCAGGCAGGGGGTGGCCCGGGGCAGCCACCGGCAGAGCCCCGGCCCCTCGCCTGGGCCCGACCCGCTCCTCCCGAACCGCAGCCCCGGCGCTGCCGCAGAGCGCCCGGCCCGGCCCCCAGCGCCGCAGCCCGGGGCGGGCGCGGCCTCCTCGCACCGCCCGGACGGGAACGGCGGCGCCGAGCGGCCGAGCCGGGGGCGATCACAGCCCGGGCACAGCGGGCTGCGCTGGGCTGGGCTGGGCAGGAGGGTCTCCGGAGCGCTCCTGCCCCTCAGCCGCGACGGGAGCGGGCCGGGGGACAGGACGGAAGACGACCCGGGGGTGGTGCGGGGCTGTGCCCGTGGCCGGCGCTGGGGAGAAGCCGCGCGGTGCCTCCTGCGGGAGGCTGGGCCCGGAGGGGCTCCCGCGGACCTACTGCCACGCCACAAGGTACGGGGGGAGAAGGTCCGACGCCCTGTGGGACATTGCCAATGTCCCCGCAGCCTCCCTGCGGTGCCAGCCTTTGGCTTTTGTTTCGGGAGTCTTTGGAAGGCAGTGCAAAGGAAGGCGTTTGTCCAGCCCACTGGCCTCGTCCTGCATTGCTGGCACGGAGACCATTATCTCTGCAAGTGCTCATCGCCAGCCTGGAAGCGGTCCCTGGGACTGGGTAACCATGGCAAAAACAGAGCAGTTCTTCTGCATCTCAGTGGAGCACTGACCAAGGCAGCACAGGCAAAGCTGCTCTGGGCTGGCCATGCTCCCAGGTAATGGTCCTGTGGTGCTGGGGCTTCTCTTCACCTTTGGCTCCATTTAATCTCTTGTTTGGCAAAACAACACAGTGCTCCTCTCCTTTGTTACTTGAACTATCTCCAAAGACTGCTAAAGGCCATGGGAGAGCCAGGGAAGTGTCCTGGCAGCCCTTGCGCTCTGTCTGCCCGGAGGCAGTGCTGCAGGTACTCCACAGAAAGGCTTAGTGCCTCTCTAGCTGTGCTCCTCAGCCCCTGGGAGCAGGGCAGGGGAGCAGCACACCTTCTCTGCACCCATCTCCAGAGGCTCTGTGGCACCGTGGTATATCCCAGTGACACCACCGATGGGGCAAGGCCAGCCCTTCGAAGCTGGAGAGCCTAACGAGCTCCAGAAGACATCCTCACTCTTTCCCACAGGGAGCAGCAAATCTGACTGGCAGACAAAAGAAAATGTGGTTACATCTAAATACTGGCAATTTCAACAGAGTGGGTCAGGATTCGTGAAAATCTTTGTCGAGAATCATTACAGGCTGCACAGGGGTAACAGGAAATAAAGGTTGTCTTTAGGGTTCTGCTACTGTAGGAGAATGGAACCCAAAATTTCACTTGCCCCAAACCAGTTCATACTTGAATTATGGCAACTCAGACTTCTCCTCATAAACATGCCAGAACGAGTGTGATGATTCAGCTTACTGTGGTTTTATGTCCTAAAGTACTGGTCCCTTGCCACTACTGCTTTTGAGTTTGAAATTGCTTGTGCTATTATCTCGATTATTTTTTTAATTATTTATATAGGCAGTGTGGGAAAAGCAATGAGAGTGATTACACTTGAAATGAGAACTCTGTTTGAATGAGTTTTTGAGTCACACTGTGCCTAAACTACACCATCAGGCAAATAGAGGAAAACTCCCAAATGGCACAAAGCTTTGGCCTCTACCTCCAGAACCACGTCAGCCCTGGGATCTCCAACCAAAATGTGGAGGAGTGTGGCAGGGCTCCAGTGCTCCCAACTGCCTCCTTTCTGCCTCCAGGTCAGTTTTCTTCCCCCGCAGTCATAAGACCAAGGGTCTGGCTGAAGAGCAACTGGAGTGAAAAGCTGTATGTGAAAATTTATACATTTGTTCTCAAGGATGACAATGCAGCAAGTGCTTTTATCCCAATAATATGGGTTTGTTAGGATACCCTGAATGTCTTTGGAACCCAGCAGGTTCTCTACTGATCCTGCCCTGCTTCCAGAAGTATTTCCCCTTCTTCCCTGATAAAGTTGCTTTGGCACTGACTTCCATGAACCTTAGACCGGAGATCAGAAGTTACTTTCCAGATCATAACTGGATAGTGAAGCTTTAAAAGAGAACCAAGTCCACTAGAATTTCAGTCTGGGCCCCCATTCCACATATTCATTCTAAGCCTACATCTACCTGCTCTTCCCTTTTCCATATCCATTTTCTAAGATGATGCAGCAGCTGGGTATTACAGTGGCAGAGAAAGACACTTGATTTCTTCTACCTTTCCTGACAATAGAAGGATAAGAAAGACTCAACAACACAGAATTATGGCTAAAACAGATGCCCAGAACTGAAATGCTTTTTCTCCCAGCAGGGCTAAAGCTCAGCACAACAGTAAAATTGCGAGAGCATAGCCTGGTTCAGCTTTTAAGCACTGCAGAGGGCTATAAGGATACCTAAGCTGCACATAATCTTGCCAAGTAGGAAACAGCTGACTTTAAGGTAAGCAAGAATGAGTTAAAGTTTAAAGAAACACTGATTCAAGTCCATTCTTACCTAATTCAACTGCTTGATAGAGCAGGCATAACGTAGCCAACTATAAGTAAATCCTGCCACCTCAGATTCGAGTAAGCTGCCCAGGGTAATTAAGACAAAGTGTTTAAGAGCGATGGTCCTTGTAATACTTAGAAGATCAAAGAATCAAGTAGATAAGATAGAAACGAGTACAAATTATTTTGAATCTTTACTAATATAACTCCCTTTCTGAAATCTTCTCTTTGCTGCTTAATATGTAAAATCCTCTCTTAGGAATGAATGTGACAGTTCCTGTGATAGTTCTGCAGACGCTGGATGTAGCGCGTGGCTGCGCATGGATTTTGGAGACATCCATGGTGGGAAAATACTGCATCTCTCATGCAGTCTCTGGTTACCAAGGCAAACGCAGGTATAAATAGAAACAATCTGGGTTTCTTTTTAAACTCTATCTAGAAACCTGTGTTGTTGATAACCCTCTAACAGCAACGCCTTATTCCAAATGGTTCTGTTCCACATTTGTGTGGAAACTTCTGGTCATACACATTTAATCCTTTCTTCCCTAAATTAATGGCAGCTGCTTCTGGTTGTCATTCCACTCAGATATAAAAATTTTCATTGAAGTAAAGTTTGTACAAATATCTGTTTTGCTAAAAGCTTTCATCAACCAAATGAACAAGAGCTAACACAAAGCTTGGAGGAAAACCCAGAAAAGAAAGAGGTCTTTCTCCCTAAGTATCACCATTAAGTGGCCATTCAAATGACTAGCACTGAAATGATTTAACAGTTTTTACATTTTCATCTTCACCAGTAGCTTCCAGATTCTCCACACCCATGAGATGGATGGGGTGGTGAATAACTTGCTGTTAAATACAAGGGGAATAAGCAGAGATTAATTTGGCTGATGACAGCTTGCAGTTGCAGAATAAAGACAGCCTCATCTTGAACTGATTTGGATCATCTTTGAAACCAATGGGGTGAATTAAAAATAAAAACTTAAGTTTCTGTGGAAACTGATGGGTTATCAGTAGACCTTACAACTTGCTGCTTCAGCAAGATCCTTGCAATAAATGTTAAATATTGAAATAAATGTATGATTTGGTTTAGCGTGTCATCTCTGTTACACACAGAGTTACATTAAACAATGGAAGTAATGATCAAAAGTATGAAGATGTATAATTTCATAAGTGCTTGAGCTGAAACACAGGAAGTTTCTGCAACCTCTGAAGAGGGAATTATTCCCATCAGTAACATTACATTCACTCCTTCAACCTTGCATCTTGATAAAGTGTCGTATATAATCATCACGTTTATTAAAATGTCTTCTTGCAGAAAGATCACTTAGCTTTTAGTGAAATTATGTGACTGAGCTCTCAAAGGCCTTGCAGGTCTGAAAACTGACATTACTCAGTATTTTTAGTTAAGGCACAAAAAGCAAAATGAGTAAGTTGTTCTTCACAAGCAACCCCTGCATTCCCAGCTGCACTTCATTTGCTGGAAACCTCCTCCACTTATCACTGGGCTTTCAGATGTCCACAGACCTACAGCCTTACCGACATCTCCAGCTGCTGGACTTCCAGGCCTTGAGATGCCATATGTTGGGTCTTGTGACAGAAGAGTTCATAATCCACTGGAGCAAGGCTGACCCGTGAGCAGACAGGGGTGCACACAAGGAAGGGCTGCTCCAGCAGACGTGGATGCACATATGGAAGAGCTGCTCCAGCAGTGCTCCCATGAGCACAGGGCTGTGGTAGGAAAGCAGCTAGGCAGGGCTGTGATTGCCCTCCTTTCCCAGCAGCTTCTGTACCCATCTCAGCTGCTGGCTGATGGTTGTAGGCCAGAGTAACATGCGTCTGGTGTGTGGGATACTGGAAAAATGCTGCAACCCCTCCCTTTTATGGGGTCTGTGTATGGATCTAGAGGCTTAACATTAGGTGGCCAAATTTATGATGTGTTGTATAGGTGCAATGTTATGTAACTGGAGAGGAAATTAAAGTGCAAGTAATGCACTGTATTAATTTAGGACTAGTTAACAGCAACTAATTTAAAACAATTATATGGACAGGCAGACATCAGCTATAGCATTTATATAGATGCAAAGACATCTACCTCAGTGCAGAGGTTACCCCTTTAAAAACAGGAAGAATCCAAGTTTATGAAAGACGGGGTGGGTAGTGTTAGTGTTATTTGTAATGGTATTGTCAGTGTTTCTTGTCTCAAGTTCTTAGAAAGAAAATTCTTCAGGCAATGGAGAAGATGGAAGAGTCAACTCTAAGCAATTCCAGGTACCTTAAAGCTAACAGGAAGGGCCCCTCAGCACTGCTTTCCGGCCTTTGGTGGCCCAGGGTTGGAATTAAACGTGCAGAAGTTTAATTCAAACAAACTTGCTGCAGGGCTTACACATGCACAGTTAGACTTTTCTGAATAAAGTCACCATTCATGTTAATGTTTGTGTTAAAATACTGACAAGCATTTTCCTTTTCCTCGAAGGAAACTTGAATCCATGACCTGCAGTAACAGGTATTTCTAATGCTTGATACATCAAAATGGTTCTGCCAGCCCCCTGCCCAACAGCGCACCAAGTACAGCTTTGCAGGCCTCCGTCCTTCTTGGTCCCAGCACATTTCAAATTCTCTTCCCAGGCACTAAGTCTCCATGAACTCTACTCTAGTCTTTTATAACTTTATTTTACCTTAAGACAAAACCAAGGCAGGAGCAGAAAAGAGAAGTTAAGGTAGAGAAACATTAACTCCCACATGCTGGTGCTGTTGCTATCCCTGCAGTGATCCAGATGCTGTTGTGCCAGCCAAGCAGCCTCTGCATTGCCTGCAATGACATCTTAGATTGCGGCACAGGCAAAAGGACGGATTTAATCAATGACAGCAGCACTGCAGTCTGTCCTTACACTATGAAACACAGGCTCCCAGCCCTGGTTTGCATGTATTTGCTGCTAGCCAGGAGATTTAAAAGTGTGAAAATTTAGGGCTACTAAAAATCCACCTCGTGTGTTCTGAACAACCTCCCTGGTTACTGTTTTTCCCCCAAACATTGGAATATTCTATTTCCCTAACTACAGTTTTGCTCTGTGCTTTTTCACTTAAATGGCTGCAGTCTTATGTTACTTGTCAGCTTCAGGAGACAATCACACATGCAACATTTTTGTCCTGTCAGCTGGTAGTGGTTTTCAAAACAGGATGCCTATTTTTCCCCCCATTATTTGCAACAGTGAGACACAGAAGTCTGAGCTTTTGTTTTCAGTTGGTTATGCAGGTTCAACCTGGTGAATCATTCTTCCTGCAGCTACATTTCCAGGAAAAGACAAAGGCCTGGCTCTTCTCCAAGTTATCCAAGTCAGATCAGAAAGCACTCCTTCTCCCACAGCTGGGACACTTTCTAAGAAGGGAGAAATTGATAAAACACATCCCAGAGCTGGTGTCATCACCCTGCAGACAGGCAAGGAGGTGCATGGCCTTGGAAAGGCATGTGCAGTACTAAGTCAGGGTTAAGATAATAGCAGAGTTTACTGGATTTAAGATTCTTGGCCCTGTGAAACACAAGCATGTGCAAGGAGCCATTCTCCATTTCTGGGACTGATGGTTACTGTGAAGCTGGATGGTTTCCGGAAAATCCTACAATTTAATTTCAAGCATTTTAGACTCTCATCTTGTTGCAGTTGGTGTGGACAAGAACATAGCCTTGGAGCTGGGAATTTTTCAAGAGCTGTTATTCAGATAGAAGCTGGTAACTATGGTTTCAGACGTCTCCTCTCAGGGATACTGCTGCTCACAGATGAAGGGAGGCCTGGTTTTTCACGATGAGGCAAAGGGCTTGTGTGGTTGTGAATGCAAACACTGAGCTTTCAGAGAGGGAGTTAAATAAAAACATGCACAAATCTGCCTACACGTAACCATTGCAGGAAATGTGAAGACTTGTCTGAGAAGTGGAGTTCTTTTGAATGCATGCAGACACTGGCTCATATGTACCGGGCAAATGGGCCAAGTGAAGAGACAGAATTACCTTACCTTTAAGCCCACAAGCCAAAACACAGCTGGTAGCACTAATATTAGTCCTGTCAAGCCTGGCAGTCTTCATTTGTTATGCATCCTGCAAATAATTATACATATAGTTAAGCTTACAGCTCAGAAGCTGCATTCAGTAGTTGGCAGGGCATGTTCCTCGCTAGTATTGCTCCTCTGACCTCATCAGACATGAGGAATGAATCTTTTTAATCTCTGCATATTGGGAATACAGGTTGCTACTCCTTTGGTCGTCATTGAAATCTGAGTTAGGGTTTGTTCCAGGATCCTGCCTGGCCTTCCTTAAAGGCTGTGTAGATTTCTCCTGGAGATTACAGCAACTTCCCCAGAGGGCTTGAATTAGAATTTGCTTCCCACATTTTGGAAAGTTGCTTTCCCTTTTGTGAAAATTAAAGCACCTGTGAGCGAGGGGGGGTTGCTGCCCACTGGCTGCCCTGCTCAGAGAGAAGGGGTGGTAACTGAGGGTCCCACGGCACAGACCTTTCTTCCTTGAGCAGAATGAAAAGGGCTTGGATCCCAACAGTCCGTAGTAAGCTATTTTCAGCTCATGCATTCATTATTGCCAAGATCCACCATCCAAAATGCCTACTTAAGTAAAATGTGGAACTAGGTACGTGCTGCCCATTGTACACCAAAGTAATTGATTTTTTTAATAATGGAAAATGTCTGATGATTCACTGGGGTAAATCAAGCAAAACAGTAGGAAGATGAGACAGAAAATAGGACGAGAACCAGGACCAGTAATAAATCATGATAGATGGTATTCAGTATATTGCTGTAGCAGTAAGTCAATAGAATGCCAAGCTGCATAAATAAAAGAGAATGTGTTTCATCTCTGCAGGGTGTTGCTTAGGCTACACCTATTAACAGGATCTCCTGGTTCTGCAGACAATACACACAGCAACAGGTTTTGTCATATTATCCTGATAAATCAGATCTGTATTAAGATGTTAAGGGTTACTTTGCCAAAATGAAGGGGGAAATGAATATTCCTCATTAAGGCAGCTAAAGAAAAACATGCACAGATATGAAAAATTACTCTTTAATGGTGTACTGAGGTACGTGGAAGCGGAAGCTTAACTTCTGCTGGAATGACGTGGAGGTGGAAGAGTTTGCTGTTTCTGTGATTTCCAGGGATTAAAGTCAGCTTCCTCTTGCTTAAGACCTACAGGAATAAGGCTACACAGGGGAACAGACTACTGATTTCTTTCCTCCCTCTGCACGTTTTTATAAATCCTGATACTCCACAACAGTGCTAGTGCAGGGCAAGAGCGACCTTCGTCTCTTCCCCTTTGCAGCGTTACATACCAAGAACAAGTATGAGACCCATGGGAAACTTCAGACTCTGGGAGGCAGAGGAACCACAACCTTCACACACGTGTCTCACAGCAGTGAGACATGTCATGAACTCCAGCCCCTCCAAGTTCCCAGCACTTTTTATCTATTGGCACAAGGATGTGGGGTTTTGGCTGTTGCCCTCGATGGCTGGGCCCTGGTGCTCAGCTGCCTGGTGAGCCACTCTTGCTCTCTTCTTCACCCTTCAACAAGGATTTTCCACTGCCTAAAACCGCAGCTTAGGCAAAGGACTCCCTTGAGGCTGCTTCAAAGCCGAGAGTTAGCAGAGGTCCCAGCTTGCTGCTGGGATCCCACTGGGCACTTGCTGTGGCTGAACCTCCCTCCACTGAATCTGGGCAGCCCCACTGCACTTGCTGGCATGGCTACAAGGAACAGGACAGACGTGGTTTTAGGCATGGACACTCAGCATGGCAGCTGTCTGGCTGAGATGTGCAGGTTTGCCTGTGACTCCCACCACTGCTTTGGATGGAGCAGCTCGCCTCTGCTGGCATTGAGTCACTGGAAGGGCCCAGCAGTGCAGCAGGAGTGCAGCTTTCTCAGCCACTGCTGCTCTTTAAAATAGTCAGCCAGGTGCAAACAAGGGAGGGTATCGCTTTTCTGGTGTAAGAGTAAATTAAGCCAGTTTTCATAGTACATAGTGCAGATGCAAGCAAGCTCTTATTCTTGCTTGGGAATTAACTTCACTAAACCACACCAACCCTGTAGCTTCTTCTCTTTCTTCTCTTTCCCCACCAAAAATCAGTGGGTGCAATGCCAGAGGGAAGAAAACACCTACTTTTGAATGGCTATTTTGTGTGAAGCCCCTTTTTCCCTCCCTGACTCAGGTCAGTCTCCTGTTCCACCCAATGGTTAGCCCCTGGCCCTTCTCAGAACTGGGAGCAAGACAGGACACACCATCCTACAGTTTTCCAAGCAGAGTGCAGAGGCTGTAGAAGGATATTGGGCTGAAGTGGGTCATAAAGCGCTGAAAGCAAATATTTTCCAAGGCCCTCCTGTAATCCACAGTGAGGTCAGATTTCTCTGAAGTAACAGGGCTTTGCAAACTGCCAGTAGCGTGTAGAAAGGCTTAGCTAACACAGTTCAGAGAACTTGCTGGCAAGTGAAAAGGTGTAATTCATCAGTTTGAGGGAATAATCCTCATATAAGACTATAAATCATTTGGTTCGTCCCTTTATTGTGCCTGGGATTAAGTGGCACAGGTTCTGGAAACACAGCATCTATTACTTCCTCTCTTCAAAGAAACTAGGCATGGTTTGCCTGAAAATTCTGCGTCTGTGATCACATGGGAGAGCCAACATTAGGATTTGTCCTACAAAATGGAGTAAAACCCTGAGCCTGCCTATCTTTGGAATACCTGCCAGTGTGATAGCAGCGTTTTGTAATACTTTTGTGTGTTCTTAAGTCTTCTGCAGAGCCACTCTTCTTATCAGGGGCCAGAGTTAAATTTTTGTAGCGATAGTGAGGTGATGCATTGCAGAACGATGCACATTCTGTGTTTATCAGGGCCTCTGACTGCTGTGGGTATCTCGCCCTCTAATCCATCTTCCCTGGAGTGTATTTGAACATTCCAGTCCTCTGAGAAGCTCTCAGGTAGCTGAGAGTCACTAGGCGAAAACGCGGCTTCTGAGGACTCTCCATACAGCCTCTGAGAATCCCAGCAGCCATGTGGAATGCCTCCTTCCCAGGTGCCCGGAGGTAACGCTCACAGCAGCACACGGTGAGTGAGCCCTGAGCACCTCTTGTGCTGCGCTGCGCGAGGGACAGAACCGCTCAGGCCCTCGAAAAGGGGCGATGCGGAGCCCGCACAGCGCGGGGAAGACTCGCAGGGGCAGCGCCGACGCTGCCCGCGGCCCCCCCACTGCTGCGCGGGGGCAGCGCGAAGTAGCCGCCGGCACAGCACTCCTGTTATCGCTCCTGTTGCTGCAGTCCGCAGTCGCTCCCCGCGCTGTCCCGGCGCTGTCCCGGC